TTTCGGTCGTTTGATTCACCAGTGAGTCTTCGTGCAATTATAAACGCCATCCCAACAATCTCTGGAATAGCCACTTATATCTTTTCATTTTAGCTGGACTAGTCGTTTTTTTCAAATATAGATAAGGCGAATTAGTTATTTCACCAATCCAAGTTTTTTCTTCAGAGTCACTCAGTCCCAACTTTTCATAGATTTGTGTGCTTTGATTGGGAAAATTATTGATTTCATCGGTGATCCCTTCATCTGTCCATACACTAAGCTCCTATAGTTAAAGACTGTGAAGGTTAAACATGTCTGTACACCAGTCATGGTCTGTTCAACAGATAGCTCTGTTCCGTGAGTTGGTTCTGAGTTAATATTTAGCGTAGTACGGATTGGCTTCTTCGAATAGAGACTTGTTACATTGAAATTAACTACTTTTTTTTATTTTCTATATGCAGGTCATTGAGTCTAGGTTTCAACTTGCAGGAATTTATTAATTTGGAATTTAAACTTTATAAGACAGAATCTAAAATCTTTACTGAACAATTTAGCAGTTAGTATTTTAGAGTATTTCTGAATTCAACTTTCATTTCACTGGGGTAATCTGGTGTGTGAACCTCAAAAGTACAACAAATTCTACTGTAATTATTGATCTCAGGTATTAGATTGTGCTACTTAGATTCACCCGAAGACAGCCTTATGCTTTGTATCAAATCGGCTGCAGATTATTGAATTTTACTTATGACAGTGACTGAATTTCTTGGATTCTTTCATGGTTATGTTTAGATATGCTAGTCGATTTTCTTGAGATAATGTGATTTGTCCATGGCTACTGTTGAGTTACCTATAGCAAATTTAGGGATTACTATGGTTTCGCAATAACGCAGACTGCTGAAAGCTTATGGTTTTTGTTACAATTTCTCTGTCATTCTTCTGTTTGTTTTTTCAATGTTCATACACGCTGTGAACTGTCCTGTTTAGTGGTTATTTTATCTATTGAGCATAGTGACACCTCTATGCTAGGTATTGTATCTTTGGATTACAGTTGATCTTTCACTATCCTGAAATTTATTCCTGTTTCAACTGAGACTGAGTTTTTCAAAGAAAGATTTACCGCCCACTTCTCTCTATCGGAAGTCGGTAACGCTTCATTTGTTATCCCATTCTTTACAGCAGGATATTTTTCCTTCACTGATTCACCAATTTTCTTAAATGTGTGTATGGATTCCTTAAAAGTAGGTAACGTCTCTTTATTTAATGTTTCTATGAGTTGTTCACGGTATATGATGTTTAATATCTTCATAAGCTAACATTTCGGTCATTTATTATCATTCTGAATAAAAAATAATTTCTAACGATCCTGTATATTTCTTCTCATGGGCAGTCTGCGAAGATGCTTGATTACCTTTTTAAATTATCCGTTGAACTTAGTCTCATTCTTGAAGGTGAGTCAATAAACTCACGTAACCTTTCTAAACAGAAGCGCAATTTACAAACGAATTTGGCAACAATATGTACCACCAAACCTATGGAGTGGAAAAAAGGGTATATTTAGCGCCAATTTAGAAAGAACTATATTGACTTCAGCTATTATTTAAACTTTAGTGTATAATATAAATTAAGTACTTTCAATTTCCATGTGATATGACTGACCATATTACGAATTTTTGTTAGAAGTATCAAATGAAGAGCATATAGAGATTAAGTTCATCACTAGACATGAGAAACATAATTCAAATCATTTTCTGGACTTGGGACTTCAACGGACAAAACGTTGAACTTTTCAAAGACCTTTTGACAGAAACCAAGCCTTGAATGAACAGCATCTCTATTTTAATGATTTCCATCATAAATTATCAATGAGGACTAACCAAAGTATCATTTTGCAGGGTGAAAAACGTTACTCATCGAACGAAATGACTGGGGAATTTCAAAGAAAAGTCACTACCTCCAGAAATGTATCGGTAAAGTAAAGATCAAAGCGGCCAAAGCCGAAAGACTGAATAGTCTGAAGAAACCTGTCCTAATCTGTTCAACTTTAAGGGGGATGAACTGATACATAAAGTTTATGAGATGAATTAAAACTACCCCAAAGGTTACTTACTTAACAGCTAAATTAGTCTGCCTATACAAAACAAAGTAGTCATGACAACAGTCGAACGTCGATAGTTTTCAAGCATACGCCATCTTAAGTTTTGCTCACCCATTCATATGTACATGCCAGAGGATGCAGGAAGGAAATAAAGAAGGGCCGTAACTCAAATTCATGAACACCATCCATACAGGTTATGAATGAAGTGGAAAAATAGCCTAAAAAGTTCCATTGGCAAATATCTGATAGACACAAGGCAAGACATGTGGATCTTCAGTGAATTATAAATAGTCAACAAATAAAAGGCTGTTGGTTTACTTAAACCCCAGAAGCCATTGGCATCAGAAGAATTTAATCGAATCTGTGCATCCGAAACAGGTAACTGTTAGTCCCGACTTCCATGTCGGTCACTGATTTGTGAATTTCAGTATGGACAATGCAATTTCTTGAGTTTTTGTACTTTGAACTCATTTTACAAGAGGCATGAAACTCGATCATTATTTATCTCCACAGTTTTACTGTTTGACCCAAACTGACTTGAGCTTAGCCCTGCTCAGTTTTTAACTAAAGTAGAACCATAATCCGCATCACTGCTCAAGTTAAACGCCAACATTGCTTACATTACCGAAATACTTCATACATCAACGTGATTCTTCCTACAATATAATTCATCATGTCAGATGCCACGCATTAATAATCTGGCTATTCAGAGTTCGAATAATTTTGTTTTTGATCAGAAATGTGTTTCATTCGAACTTTCTCAACCAGTGTCATTTCTTTTATTATCTTTAATGAACTTTCGTCCTCTCAATTACCAGAGTATATGGATTCCATTTCTCTGTATATTCTGAATCTTCATATTCCGTACGCATCTGCAGAAAAATCGACCAAATACTCCGTTCTGCAAGGTGTTTCCGTCTTGGATGAACTAAACTTTGTGAGGAGAACCTCAAGTGTAAAATCTAGCATGGAATTATAGCCCCTATGTTTTACATTTAAATTCCTACCTCAGTGAGTAAGTCGTTAATCAACCTCTCCTATCACTCAGCTCATTTCATTCCCAAAACTATCCGTCGAATGTGATTGATCGAAATCTAGAACTGAGCTTTTCCATCGATTCTTTACCGAGATATACTCATCTTGATTCAGCCAGCTTCAGATCTTTCTAACATCTTTTGGAACCTGGTATACTGCACTGACTTACGTATGTGACTTCATAATCATATTGAGAAATTCGAGTGACCAAACTTCCCCACTTGATACAATCTTTCCATCCACCTATTTCTATGTGATCTTGTGGGTTTAGATGCCACTCTGATTCCATTCTCATTGTGAATTCTACTTCATTTCCGAGGTATCTTCTCGGAATCATTATACGATGGAAGTTTCGGATTTCGTATTTTCAGTGTCAGTATTGTTGTTATCCTTATTTTGACTAAAGAATAGGTTAGATGATCTAAATTGTAAGTAAAGATTCGAGTGAGAAAGTTCAGTATTGACACATATCTAAACTTCTGTTGTGTTTCTTTTTTATTCAGCAATCAAATACAGACTTTTTTCATCGCTTTTTAGTTCATTATTAAATCACGTTGCATCACTAACCAAATTTTGGACCAAGAACCTGTTTATGCACTGCGACTCCAATACTATAAATGTGCCATTTACAGTTACGTCAAATTCTGGAAGAAGTATCAAATATAACATGAAACATCTTTTCCGATACATATTTGAATCTGTCACAACAATGTCTTTGCTTATCGCATGATAACCCTTCATATTTGTTTGCTATTGCGGTTAAAACTTGGAGGCTGAAGACATCAGGCATAACCACATTTCTGTACAACTATCGCCTTAGTTCTATTTGAAAGCTATTAGATATTAGTGGATTTATTTCTAAGAGCCTGTACAGGTTTTTTGACTGCTGTTTTTGAGTGGATGGATAGTGAACACCTGAGTAAGTGTACGTGAACTCTGCGTAACTCTTCTTCAACTTCCTCTATTTCTTAACAGACCGGATCCTGATATTTGGAGATTTGAGTCAATCTGTGAAGTTAGTCGTTTGAAGGCATTTACTAAGCCTACTGAAATTTGATATGAGTAATATGACTCTATTCGTCGCTTTTATTCTGATCACAAGGCATGTTCAGTAGATAGCTTTCAGGTAAGATGCATTACAGAATTGTGTCCCTGCAGAAAATCCATATGATGGAAAATGGATCATGTGAAACGGAGGACGATATTTATTGTTCACGTTTACAACTATCATCACTGTTTATCAGGCACACGTTGCTTTTTTAGAAAATGTACTTAATGAAAGTTGTCCAAAGATTTTCAGCCTATTCGGAATATTTTTCGACAAATGTTGTTACACGTCATTTATGCACTTCCTGTACTGAAAGGAGGCAAGTCAAACTTTTCAGCAGTAGCATTGGATTATGCACTATCTGATAGACAGACTTGTCAACTCATCAAATGAAATTTTTAATTCTGTATATTTTGACATGCAATATCGTCTGTAGTGAAATTCTGATTCTAATACAACTTATTAGTTAACAATATAATGTTGTTGATGCATTTTGAAAATATGCTTATTTCAACGGGTGTAAAGAGTGAAAGTCAAATAACCTTGTTACTTGGAAACTTATAAGTCTTAAAGTTCTATCAGACGTTTGAATAAAAATCAGCTAGTAGTTATAGTGTTCATTACTTGGAGGCCTACTTGTTTCGATTTTCAGGTTTATCAAGAATGACTGAAATAGTTCCTGTTTCAATTTCAAACGATCATTGTACTAAACAAGAACAGTCAGGTGTGGTTTGGCTGTAAGTCGGGCAAAGTATCAACTTCGTCGAAATATATTGCACCTAAAACATCTTCCTAATTTTAAAAATACTTCGAAACCAGAAATAAATAACCACGTCAGATCACAAATAACGGTACTTGACTTAGGATTATATCACAGAATTGTGCATTCTTCTATGCTGCTATTAGGAATATATTCATGGATTTATATTACAACTCCATACAACTTGTATTTCACCAGTGAGTAGTAAGTGAGTAGTATTGCTAGATAACCAATACCATTTATCAAATTGGTAAATACTATTTTTTTCCTTGCAAAATGTATGTACTTGAACTTGGGCATTGCTGACAAAGTCCCTAGTGAAACGCATGCTTGGAAGCAATATAATTATTATAATGAAGAAGATGAAAACAAATTTAGAAAATATAATTTTTAAGGGTCATCAGAGGAAAGTATTCTTGCGGTATTCTTATTCTTATAAATATATGTTTGAACGATCCTCTCTTCGAGGTTTAAATTGTATAAAATAATTGTATATGATCAATTGCCTAGATAAAATATGTGTATATAAACTTGGATTCATTGGTCAGCGGTAAAATGGCTGTTTAAATAAACCGATTCGTATGTTTTGAATTGTTATATGCAGATAGACAGTTAGTTCCAGAAGACGTATTCCCAATTTCGACTGTTCCAACTAAGCAGTGTGAATTATGGTCCCGATGAGATATTTTCTACGGGTCGTACTATATTTGTTCTTCGGCGATTCATTTCTTGTGGACTTTCATTCCTGTTGGAAGTATGTTCCAATATGTCTGATTCTAGATTATTGGTACTTGGAAGGTCCACCCCACTATCAGCAAAACTGGAACTTAGCTGAAAAAAAATTTACATGGACGTTATCCACTGTGTTGTATAATATGAGAAGTTATGAAACATTTATTGTTTTTTAGTGATAGAGTAAAACTTGTACCCAGAAAACTCTAACAGTTCTTCAGCCATTTTATTTACTGTCTAAAAGGAAATGCAATTTAGTTTGAAGGTTCATGGGTTCGATGAGTACCGGGGTCTTTGGTCCACACTGCTAAAGTGTCCCGTAACAGGAAGAAATAGCTACCCAGTGCTTCCAAGTATTCAGTAGTTCTCCAGCTGATGTCAGTCTGTGGTGGATTCCAACTCCAAAGGAAAAGGAAGATGAAGCTGTTCAAAGACTGTACAAAGCCCGAAACATCATTCGATCGCATCAGTGGAAACAGTAATTGAAAAACTTAAAATGATAAACTTTTTTAACTTTAAGGACATCAAAAGTTTTCGGGCCTGGCGAATTCTTCTAACCTTAATGATATATTAGGCGGTGGAAGATTTTAAATTTCCTTTGTTGCCGCAGTTAGCATTCTTATAGTTGTTGGAAAAATTATGATAGACTGTAAATTATGTTTAGTGTACATTTAACTGAATTTTGTAATTTAAAGTTTCCCCTAAAAAAACTAACTACATTTTGACTAATTATCTTCGAAAAAAGTGTTCAGCATATTTACATTCCCGTGGGAGCTAACATTAACCTATCTATGTTACCATCTTCGTAAAAAGGCACTCTTATTATCTAAGATTCCAGTCAAAATAAAAAAAATATTACGTCAAACTGCATCAAAGCTTTTTACATTGAATGCAATAGTTAATGCCACAGTGTTTAGAGAGATGTGCGGAATTCATCCAGAGAAGCCCAAATATTTATCTCAAAATGCTATTGTAAATAATGAATGCATATTATACTTCAGAATGAAAAAAACAGCTTACATTTTCTCGTGGACTTTTATGATGCCGATTAGTTTCATTGCATAAATTCTGTTGATCATTTTTAGTCATAACTATTTCGTCCTGGTTCAGTTTTGTTTTAATGTCTGACTTTCTGTAAACTTCTTTGTATAGTCTTATAACATTATCATTGATTTTTGTCGGTTTACTCATATGCTCCACCCATTGTTGTAAAGTGAGTGCAGCTGTTAAGCTATCTGCATACGATGAGAATGGGGTGGACAAGCAGGTGAGGGGATTCGATCCACAAAGTATTTGTTGTCTATCTACTGGGATAAGATTTTGAATAAAAGGATACTGCTGAAAACCCTGACCAACAATATTTTGGCTTGCAGGAATGTTTATGTGACTTGGAAAAGTTTGATCTGAAGGATTTATTAGTACGTCCCCATTGGATGGATGCTGTAAGTGTCGAGACGGTGGTACAGTAGTGTAGAATGAACTTGTTCCATTACTGATCATTCCTGACTGAACTGGACACCAAACTGGTTCTTAAAAGAATGGGTAAAGTATGAGACAGAAGCGGTAAAAAGAAGTAGTTTTACAGTGTGACATGTAACTGTTACCTCTGATTATTGAAAAATTATTATTGTTGGTTAATTTATTTTATTTCATACTGCTTGTAAATGAAACACAAAAAGAAACGAATGAGTTAATCGAAATAAGTCACACAGAATGTGGTTCAGGTTTCCTGTGTATATCAGTATAAACTGCAGCCCTACAATACAAGGTCAATCTTGATTTATTTGATGTAACCTAAAGCGGAAATCGGAACACATAGATGAAACTACCTGATGTGAATGCTATTTGTTATCAAATATAAAAGTCATTCGGGCACAATGCTTTTCATTCATTATCTGTCAGAGAATGGTAAATGACTTGACTACCTTCACAACTAGTACTTACCCTTTATACTGACTAAACTGTTTATTATTTCCAGTCCTTGAAGCGTTTCCTCTTCAACTCACCTCGTAGCTCAGTTGGTAGAGCATCGGGCTGGAAACAAAGTTGTCGCTGGTTCGAATCCGGGGGCGGTTCAAATTTTTATTTCATGTTCAGTCATTACCTGGTATAAATACTAGTCTGCCAAAGCGTGACTATCTCAGATAGTTAGAATGATTCGAAATATGTTTCACAAATTCATTAAACTAATCTGATAGATTACGCCTTATTTTTATGTCGCTGAAATAAATGTCAGTTGTTGAGACATTTGTAAGGTATAGGTTAGGTAGAATAATACAATGAAATCCAGACTGTCGGAAGTGGCTTTATCCATCCACGAGTGATGGTGTGCTGACACAAATAAACTTTGTTCAAAAGAGTTCACAAAATAGATTTTTCTGGCTGACAAAACAGTCATTTGTGAACAATGTTTACAGTCCTACTACAATTCAACAGGATGTATGGAATAAGGAAATGAGGCTGAACGAAATAGCTTGAAATTTAGTGATTCTGATGGCAATCCATATCATTACGTGATGAAGAGGTATGGTGTAAGTCGGTCAAATGATGATACTGGCTTTCTGAGATGAGCCACTCAGCATGATCAGCATTCTTAACTTTGTTATGGATCTACTAATTTATATAACACTACGTACCACTAATATGTCGGAAATTGAATAACTTAACTATTGATAACAGAATTATGACTGGCAGCAATTTACAAACTATTGTCTCGTAAGATCCCACTTTAAGAACAAAATAACCCCATTTTTAGATTAAATATGTAGTAAACTACAACGAAGGGAATAGCAATATATGTAGTTTTTGGCTATTTGTGTATGTGTGTGGATTTAGTAACATCTTAGAAAAACTAACATGACATTGTAATAAACAACGTAAAAATGAAGTTCTTATGATATTGTCTACCGGAGTGGTTACATCGAATACTGGGTGGTCTGCGTGTAGTTAACTTGGAGCTTTTTCAAAACGGTTCGCCATTATCTAAATGCAAATCTCTATTTCTAAAGCGGTAAATAATGTCACTTTTCTCATATTTTTAATTTGACTAAGAAACGACTGTTCCACGTGGAATTGTTACGGAAGTAAAAATTTACTTGGCTTGACAAATTTGACAATAATAATTGGAAAAGATAATTTAAACAGCTGCCCTTACTACTGTGTAAGTGCATTTTGTATAAGTAGATTTTAAAATATTTCAGTCGAGCAGTGAAAACCACCAAGTGATTGTGGTCTAAAATGGTAGTGAGTTATTCCAGGTGACACTGAAATGAAGGATTACTCAAGCTAGAAATCAAAAATAAGTTTTCAGTCTGATATTTCGAATATGATTTTGAAGCCTTGTCTCTGGAATAAACTCGGTAAACACATTACTCAGAAACAACGAACATCTACAAGTCAATGAGACAGTCCTATGTTCTTATTACCAATATAAATAGGCGTTTCGATAATTTAGTTTACCTAGAAGTTTAGAACATTGTTAGTATGGATAAAAAAAGCCTCGATAGGCCTTAGTTAGCTTACACTAATTGTATAGATGATAAGTGTGATGTGCAGTAGTTTGTTACTCTCCAATGTATACCTAATAAAAACGCAAATAGGTTTAATGGTCATAAGAAGTCCCAGATATTTGACTACTGTCCCATTTATAATAGTCACCAGGTGCCTTGAAACCAGAGTGTAGATAATGTGAAGGTTAAGCAATGATTTTCAAGCAAATGGATTAAGGCATTTGATGAGGCCTTCCTTAAACACTCAGTAACTTAAGTGACTTTAATATGTGTTACTTATGTTCAGCCGGTCTACTGCGAGGTAGAAAGACCAGGTTTAGAGAAAGTTGTCGGTGCTTAGACCAAAATGAACATCACTTCGTGAAATATCTAATTGTTGATCTCTCTGTTCACAGAAATGCAGACTTTGTGGATAAGGATACAGCTACCGGTTGTTTTTAAACCAGTAGTCTTTGGTAGCGTCTTTTCATTTGAAATAAGGAGGGTTATTTACAATGACACAAAGCTACCATCCCTTCTGTAAGAGGAGCATGTATCATTATATGTCTGAAGTCATAGTCAATTAAGAAGGCACATGGCAAAAAAGTAATTATATTACTTCTATTTTGACTAGAAGCAGCCCTGTTTTGTTCATCGAAATTTAAAAAAGGCCCAAGACGAGGACCAGAGAGGAGAAGGAACTGAGAACCAGATGTAGAAAAGACCTGAATGTGTCGGCCATCGCCTTTTAGCTTTAATATGTGATTTTCCTGGCATACTGGTCAAGAAGGTCACATGTCTCTGCACGATTACATCATCAATTAAGAATCCTGTTGATTAGTCTCTAAGTTTTCTTCCAGCCTAATCTTATTCAGTTTACACTGCATTTCGATGTAGATACAGAGTTGGCTTGTATAATACCCAGTAAAAATACAGCATGCTATACATTTATGAGGTAACCTAAAGTAGTAGGCATTCACCATCTCCAGTCAGACTATTCTGAAAAAAGCCTTGAGACGCAAATACGGCACATGATCTGTTCGATATTTTGATGTCGTTAACAACCACTAGGGAAAAGTTTCTAGAACACTGTACTGAAACATATCATCTTCACTTTGTTTTCAATTATGCTTTACGCTTTAGTTTACAGCTAGATAAATGAATACTCACCATGATGGTTTGTCAAAGGTAAACTGACAAGATCATCCGGTTTAGTGATGAAAGGATAAAGAGGATTGGCTGTAACAGACAAACTGTTGGTTTGTGAATAATCACGAAGTGTATCTCGCCTACTTGTGCTGTTGCCATTATCATTCTGCATAGATAAAATGTTAGTCCCAAATCCAAAGTAATCACATAGTGTTGTAGTTGGTAGCACAGAATTAAATCTATCCAACTGGAACTGAGATAAATCATTGACAGTTGAATCGGAACCAATATGTGAATAGATAGATGAAGACTGAAAAAAATATTGAAAGTTCTTTGTTCTAATATCTTACGCTATTATTTGAAGAATTCAAAACAGTTCAATAAAGAACAAAGGTTTTTTAAATACGTAAATAAGATTAACTTTATTATCTTGTAGTGTATTCTGTTGAACTATCAATGCGGTTTGGATAAAAAAAAATTTAAACGAGTAGGTCATATGTGTTAACAGAATAACTTTTCCTAAAATGTTGATTCATAACAGTGAACCGCTGACTAAGGTTAGTTTTGACTATTGACTAACATCAGCTGTAGGAACACTGAAAACATTCAAGCGTTGAATACCTATTCTGTCTAATTCTAGGCTCCTCAGTACTATAGTCTCACGAACCAATAAGTGGTCACTGCTTGGAGCGTCAAGTCTTCTAGCAAAAATTTTACCTGTCAGCCCCTTTGTTGGCACTCACTGGTACACGTTTTCAAACATCTGTTGATTCACGAGGCAACGCAACAATCAACCACACTTTAGCTGGTTGACTCTAAAAGCTATAGCTTTGTACGTAACCCACAAGAAATTGATTCCAGTCCGAGTCGCTAAAAAGTATGACAGTGTTATTCAACTGACTGATTTGTAGAAAACTGACTATTTACGACCCAAATTGAAATGGCTTTCTGGCTCTCACTTATTTTAAACGCATAACCATCTGCTAAACAAGTTAGTCATTCCCCAACAGAGCAGTTAGTTAGATGTATCCCTGATGTACGGAAGAAAAGCGTATCTGACCAACAACTCAGTTGTAGCTGATGCTTTTGACAGAATTCATTAATTCATAAACTGCGCTTCATTATATCTGTCAAATAATTAGAAACAATCATTTATCGAATTAGACAAAAATATATTTTAGGGGAGTCAACTGAGAAAAATAGTAATTTTTTTCATTTAGCCTTTAACAGTTAAAAGTATGGCATGCAAGATAGCCGAAGTAAGGCTTGTATTTTCACGGCACTTGTTTAAGAACTCTAATGCGACGGATTACAACAAGTGTGAATACTTAACTGCATAAAAGACACATAGTTAGTTAAGATGATAGCCATTAAAGTATTGAACCGTGACTATCATATCACCACTTGAAGCTAATTACAGACCACTTAAGAGTATGTTACTGTCAAGCATTTCTGTAGAGAAATTAATGCAACAGCGTAACTACTGTTGTATGAAGTAACGCTGTTGTACTTAAAAACGGGATTACATTTGCGTATCATGATTTTTCTGAAACATTTACATCATGTAATCAACCCGCTTTCATTTCTTCGCTATTTATTAAACTGTTTTCAATGCATACAGATAGGAGATTACTTACTTTTAACCGCTTAGTGATCTCAAGATCACTTGACCACCATATCCAACGCTTAAATACACAGACTTTGTTCTAACAATTCATACTACATAACACTGTTTGACAAAAATAGATTTCTTCAGACACGGGTGAGTAAAACAAAAATTAAATTAATCCAAGTCATTAGATTTCACCTTAAAGACTGAGTTTCCCAAAGGCCACTCAATGAATTCAGCTGTTTTGAATTCAGGTATACTATTTGAAGATAATTATTTTTGCTAAAAATTTGCTTTTTGGAAGTGCAAATAAGATCTTTCCACTTAACAGACTTCAAAACCTTGAAATCACTGCATGTCTGCAGTGAAAACAGAAATCACGACTTGGATTAGGGTGTGTATATAATGTTTATTTTTTACCCATTTATAATCCTGGCTTTTTATTGTGGTTGAAATTACTTTGCATGGCTGTAAACTGGGATAAAGCAAGATCCACAGTAAATAATTCATTGATTTAAACTTAGTGCTTAAATTAAATACTGAAGGTGAACGATAGCATCTTCCTTGACAATAAAATATATGTGCTGTATCAAATTTACTAGATAATATAAGGTCCCTGTTGAAAAAGGGTGGAGGTATGAAAACTAGATACTGTGGTATAATTCCATGTAATACTAGCCTACATTATAACTGTTTGAGATTTGCAACAAACTGATCTAATTAGGAAACTGAAGGGTGTACTATAGCATAGTACTGATCTAGAGGCTTTTGTGTTTCCCCTATTAAGAGTGAGAATGTTTTTCTAATGGTTACAGATACTCAAGGTGTATGAGAAGCAACATTATATGTTGCAGAAATTTCTAAACTATTTTCGCTACTTAGTATAACACTTTTTATCGTAAAAATACTTGATACCATATCTTCCTCTATTTCAAGCACATAGAAGAGGGAGACTGTTGTAATTTTAAAAGAAATACCACATTAAAACCTCTCATACCTGATCATTTATTGGTTGAACTTCTGTATTTAACATTTTTGCCATGTGATTGAACTGTTCATTTACGGACGCTTCTTGAAATATCCCTTCCAAACTGCCAATGTGATCAGTAGCTCCGTTGCCAGTAGTGCATTCATTATTTTTATTTATATTTACGTTTTGTAGGAAAAGATCTTTAGAAAGAGGTGGCAAAGCAGAATTATTCGCAACATTTTCTAGATTCTGAGTCCTCATAAATGCAACTCTCGCCTCATTATAATTATGTGTCATCCAATAAGATTTCATTGCACTATCAAGAAGCATAGATTTTCTGTATTGTCCTTCATAAGGTATTTTAGGCTGCTGTAACCAATGAGCTGAATGTTGCAGTGTTGCGAAATTGTTCAATTCTGCAGACTGCTTCTGTTGGCCATCTAATGACTGGAGGTGAAAGTTTCCTGCAGCACGTGGAAATGTCTGATGATTGTCACCTGTTAGAACTGGCTGAGACTGAAAGTTCTCCCATTCAGTGGCTGTTCTCTGTTTTGGAGTTCCAGTGAGCTCTGAATCACTTAAGGCACCAAAGTAACCTGAAAAGTGAAACGTTATACACATGTAACGAAACATTCTACACCAAAATACTTGGTAATTTTAAGTTTATTTCACATAACTGAATTTCGTTGTTGATGGAATTTCTTGGGGAAATCTTATAGTGCATTGTGGATGTGTTGTAATTCATATTTGAATGAAATAGTCGAAAAGGATATGTTTCAAATCAAAATGAACCTGAAGCAGCTCTTTATTAGGCGCAGAAAGAAGCTGGGCGAAAACAATGCTATGTTTTGCATACTTGTGTTACACAGGTCGTTTTACAAAGAAGAAACAGTAAAGACTACTAGGTAGCTGTAATTAGAAATTCTTATCAGCTCACCCGAAAGCATGCATTTATTTGTTCTCATACGTCTCAGTTCGTAACTGAAAACAGCCATTAGGGAAAGATTTCGCATTCCATTTTTTAAATTAAATGTAACTGTAAATGAACACCTTTTCAATTCAAAGTCATTAATTATATAAAAATAAGTATGACCAATTTCGCATTGCACAAACCTGTACGTAAATTCTAGGTGGTTTCCGATTTCGATTAAAAGGAATGTATTTTTTACAATTCTGAACTACTACGATTTACTTATCTCCTAAATCCAACTTGTTTTAGCAATCGGAGATGAACTGTCTTACAAAATGTTCTGAAATCATGAATGAAAAATGGGAAACTACGAATATTATGTAACCGTAAATTCCACGATGACTCTTCACATTTTAGTGCACAGAATGTAATTTTTCACAGTAAATACGAATCAGTAAATAAATATTAGAAATAGACAGTGGGAATAGATCTCAGCGGTAAACTGAGTAATATTTTTCTCTTCTTATATTTTTTGTGATGAAAACTGTTTGCAGTACAGTATTAACGATACAACCTACCTGTAATAAAATATTCAGTCAGTAGCAGATATGGTTTCAGTTGTTGGAATGTGAACTGCTCTGACTTAAAATACTTAGAAATCCTCAATGGTTAGATAATTTTACAACCTACAAAGGTTCAAATACACACCTATTCCATCACCTAGTTATCAAGAATGCAAGTAGTAAATAGATAAGAAAGCATTTTCATATTAGATTTGTTTATTTGATATAAAGCGCACAGTGATACAGTATTATTTACTTGATTACTTTTCGAGCATAAATTATTGCTCATAATCATATCAGTGTAATCACACCTCTTCCGATATCTGATTTTATAGTCCTGTCACGTGATTTCTCTTTGTTTTTTGATTGGTAGTAAAGTTTTCCATATCTCTGGTATAGGTGTTGCGTCATTCCTATTACATGTGTTGGGTGTGGATTCGATGAACAAAGATTCAGTAACTAATCTCTCTCTCCACCTTGCTATATTGGAGAAGTGATCATAATTTTTATGCATGTCTTACTCAGACACTTGACAAAATGACTGGTATTGCTCGTTCCTAAGATTGATCATGTTGATTCTGTTTGTCCAGGAAAAAGAGACAACACCCATCAAAAATAGTATGAATTCATTATCTTTCTGGAAAGTGCATTATTCCGTTCAAATCACAGTTTAAAAGAGTGACCTTCATTATGATCAAATGTCAGTTACACTTCAGAAAACTCACAGCTGAGTAACGAAATTGTGCCTAACGACTACCAAACATAAAACCATCATAGTGATCAAAGTGTCCTGTGAATAACCATAAACTGCTCAAAGAAAATATCGGATGAATTGATAAGGAGACGTTTGGAAAACTATTCACTTTCATAGAACTGACAGATCACGAACTGACATTAGTTTGAGAGCAATAAAAAAACTGAGAGAACTTGATAGTCAATGTTTCCTAGTTTGGGACTCAAACTAATCAATCTGTAAAAGCCATGAGTTGAATGATTTATTTCAGGATTGTGATTCCGCCTCAGTTAGGCTGAACCACAAGGATGAATAACTGAGGCGATGATTCTGCACACACTATATTTTCGATCATTTTTCCGAAATCACAAAACTCTCTAACCTTCCAATTCTTGTTAAAAGCAAAAAATTATTTATCTGTTAAAAGTATCAGTAAGTTTGACAAGAAGGGGGACATGTTAAATTCCTTTGTTATTCTTTTATGCCAGTAATTAGTAGAAAAACCAAGAAACTTCATTTGCTCATCAGTTTTAGTGCTTACACAGTACTAAAAAACCATTTCATTCATACATGTATGTATTGCAGAAAATATTTCAGTAATATCTCCCTTCTGTTTTCTATTTAATTTTTGGGAACGGCTGGTCTATAAATCACTGATCAAAGCATCACACCTATTATTAGGTTTATTGTTTTTAAGTTTAAAATTCAGTATTATTTATAGTTACGCATCAGTCTAGACAACTGGTTTTGATAAACTGGTCTAATAATACACAAATATGTGCACATAAATTGATAGTTAAAAAAAATCAGTCTAGACAGTAATCATCATATCTTTAGCATAAAAAGAAATGTTAACAATTATCATATGGCTCTCTTTTACCCTTCAAAAACTTGCGTATTTATAAAATATGCGTGAAATTCACCTATCTGCCTTAAGTACACATTTAGTATATGTACAAGCTTTCACTTCCGTGTTGCACAAAGCGATTTCATGTCATACTAAAAACGGTACGTTTTCCTATACCCCAGAACTTAATGTGAAAACCAGTCAAGTGCAAGAAGCAAACGCTAAATGGTTCAAATATCTGCCTTATGTATGTTGCATAAATTTTCATCGACTTGCCTATGGGTAAATTACCTTGATGACTCCACACTTACCTCCCTTTCTCCATCACATACAAATACTTCAGCCTAATCACAGGAAACGCTAAATGAATAAAATTTACATCTGGAAGATTTGGTTCCTAAGATTCTTTGGCGTGTAATCAGATGATTACGAGGGTATTTTATTCAATAATTTATTACGAAACAACTTCGAGAAGAAATGAAGCATCATCTAAAGATACGTATCACAAACTGAGGTCAGTAAGAAAATTCTGATAACTTTTCGGCAGTCCACTGATATTCTTACCTAGTTTGAATCCCATCACTGGTCATCACCAATGCTAACTGATGGTATTTATCATGATAAACGAAGTTCGCTTAACTCGTAAGGTGTGCAGGATTCTTCTCTACTAACCTCTTCTTTGAAATTTTGAATGAATTATTCAAACTATTACCCAGTATTGGTCAGACGTATTCCATAATTTTAGGATATCAGTTAATTGGATACTGAAGACTACTTGTCGTTATCAAGAATATTATTGACAAAGTGAAGAGGTGATTACTTTTCAAACATTAATATGAGCTCAGGAGAGTAAAGCTGTGAGATAGGAAGCTTGCAGTTAGAATTTTTAAAACCGATCACACTAAGCATATGAATGGCAGAAGACCACTGAGTAAAAGTATCAACCAGAAACAATTAGGACGACAATTATCTATTTCAGGAGTAGAATTCAAACTCCTAAAATATTGCGGTAATTTTACTTAGCGACAGCGCACGAAGAAGAGTTAAGTAAATTATTTTCACTTACTTGTAGGATATTGTGATTTCAGGCGTAGTCGATACCATATACAAAATGTGATCAGTGCAATGAATATGATGAGTAAAACGCCTGCTAGTGATCCAAGGATCACAATTAACACATAACTTTCATGCTGATAAATTTTGAATAATTTACCGCTTGGATCATTTTTCCCGCCATATTGCCTACTCATTTTAGACCTGAGGTCTGATGAAGTCTGAGATGACATATCCTAAAGGTAAATAACAAAACAATACATAACCAACACCATGATAAATAATAAATATGGATGTATCCATGCGTCACTATCTGATAAAGCCAATTATGTACAAGATTTTCAAGGTAGTATGATATTATTGCAGAAGGGGATTGCATTTACCAAAAAAGTGGGTATGGACGATTCACTGCAAAAACATGAGTTCTCGCATTTCAGACTTTCACTCGTAAATGAAAACATAATTTGACTTCAGCCCTCAAGCAAGAATTTCTGGATTCCAGTTGATGAATGTGTGTAATAGCATCAGATTTTCTATTAAAGGTAGGTTAGGGCAAGGACTGATAATCCAAGTCAAGTACGTGCAGTATCTATCCACTGAATGAAAAGTACATTTAGTATACATTCAATGAGTTAAGAATACTTAACTATGAAGAAATGTCATGAAATAACTCAGTCGGTAGAGAATCGGGCCAGGTCTCTGGCCCGAACCTGGCAGCCGTCCAAATTTTTGTTTCACCTTTAATCATCACCCAGTATCATTACTCAAAATTGGAGTATTTAGAGATAATTATAATAGATATAAGCTAAACTTACTTCCGCCTTACTAGCTTCCTCTTGAGTAAAATTTTCAGCAGTTAAATTTCTTCCAATGGTTAGAGGTAAGGTTTTCTGTACAGCTTCATTACTGAGACGGGTGTAGTATGTTTTGCTTTGATGCTGGTAAAATCTCTTTTCCTCAATGTAGACTGATACCTGAATTACGAAATTGAAAAAAATAGATTTTTGTCTTTTAGTATGTCAGTGGAGATACTGGGGTGCTGACAGAGACTAAGTAGTTCCACTGTTAAATTTTCTCTGCATGATGGTGAATTCTCAATATTTTCATAGTGAAGTGCTTTATCAGATGTAATTCTTTATAATTCAACATGAGACAAGGACTAATCGAAAGTCTTGCCTCGAGGCTTTTTAATTACATGTACTTGTGATTAAATTACTGAGAAAAACATGATATTTTTACAACCAAGAAGATTTTTAATATTTAAATATAAGCGTTTTTATATTCGCTTAACTTCTCTTCGGATGATGTCTGAAATGTCATATAAAATGAGTAAACTTTTGGTACTATGTGTTTCACAAGATCTTATGTTCTCGACGAAAAATTACCGAAATTTAGAAGAAACTGGCTTGCTGGTCAATTTATTTGAAAATAATTGGCCACAAATGACGTGAAACAAAAAAAATCAACACTTGAATTTAGCCTTAACTTTTCAATAGATATTCACTTACAGTAACCAGTTGGATGAAAGACCAAGAAGTGTATACAAACCCAGAGGCTTGAATTCACGGTATGATATCAGATTAGAAGTGTCTCTATGTTACGACACTCCTGATCTTTAACCAGTACCAAAAGGAAAAATAATCTTTGTATCCTTTCGAAATAATTCAACTTACTGCATACGTTGTGTTTGGAGATAGTCTGTCAATTGAATGTCCTGTCAGAGAGGTGTCTCCAGTTATTTGAACTGTTCGTATATCAACAAATCTAGTAACAGTTGACAAACCGATTGGAAACTGCTTTTCATCATTTACCCTGGACTCTGTCCATAATTCTAATAATGACTTCCTATCTTCTGGACTTCCAGATAAATTTCTATAGATTATAACGAAATTTAGATCCTTTGAGTTTGTTATACCAAGTGGAATAGAATTATTTCTCGGCTGAATGTATATCCATTCAACATAAAGACAGGATGCATTCTAAATGTCAAACATAATAAATTTCGATAAATGTTCAGAATAGCAAAAACAAATCATACTAAATAGATAAGTGTTAATTCATTTGCCTATATGAAAGGTTAGATAAGTTAACCAATAAAATCTGTTCGTTTTATTTATGATCACAGGACTGTGAGTTGTATGCTTGAATCATACACTAACACCGATACCTAGCAATGAAATGTTTACAGTTATGTTACATTTTTGTAACTAATCTGTTAGTTATTTTTACTAACCAGAAAGAACACTGAAGTACATTCATAATGTTATAAATGGATGCTTGCGAAAATAGAGAAGTTATTACCTATTACATATTCATTTGAACAAAACATCGACACATCACTTTCTTTACCTTAGTGTGGGAGCACAATACTAAGCATCAAAAGTGACATCAAAGAGGACACTCAAGTGTTTCAGACGATATAACACTGTGATTGATATCATAAGTCCTCAAAGCACGCAGTAACATTTCTCATAACTTGAAAAAATGTTTAATGTGAATGGTTTCATAGCTAAGCAGTTTATCAACTAGCAACCGTGTTGTTGATAAGCTGTGCTGGAGAAGCCTGAAGATCTCGATAGGTAGTTTAAACGTACTAACATGTTCATTATGATACTAAGTTATTGTAAGGCAATATATTTCACTTTAGACCCTTCTATCAGACATTTTGCAAAACATCATAACACCCTTTTACAGACTCATTCGATCATCGTGTGGATCACTTTAAAATCTACAACCAGCACCGTTTCATGAAATACACAGGTAGCTTAGTATTTGTCAATTCTTTTTCATTCATTTTTATTGTTTATCTCATCTAATTGGAATTAATATTCTGAACGAATGGTAGTCGATACTCATATCGGTTGAAGCGTTTGTAAATTGACCCAACAGCCAGCTGAAGGTTGTGTTTTTAAATTCAGTTAGAAATGTAGATTTAAAAACCTTTTCTATCATCTAACGAAAACTTCACCCTAAGTAAATGTCGAAGTCAAAGTCCTATTTCTGAAAAATGGTGTCACTTTGAAAGCATTTGACAATAGACTGGTCATCATTTTCAGGTTAGATTTCAACATGGTTATACTTAGCTCTTCCTCAACCTAAACATCGATTTTCAGGATTGAAAATATCGACAACTACTTCAGTCAACTATATCAAATTTGAACCTCAATTGCAAAGGTTTGTGGGCTTCTGTAATAGACTTGAAAACATATCGTTAATCACTATTATGCATAGGGAACACGAGAAAAACGAAAGACAAACTAATTCAATAAGTCATCATATCCAAACTTGGTTTGGACATCTATAAATTTAACATGCGGTAATATATATTCATTTGTGCTAGGTAGTTCTTTGATACTTGATAAGTCAACCGCAAACCAGTACGAAAATAATGTCTGAGTCCTCATTTGTTTCCTATTTGGTATGTCTGTGGTGCAAAGTCATTTTCAGATTATTGGTATCGTTATGCATCACTTGTTAGTCAAATAATTCAGAAACTAGGTGTGTACAAAACGAATTTTTTGGTTGACATTATGACATGTATAGTTGTGCACTAATCAGTCTCCTTTGGTCTTTAGTACAAGAAAGTCGTTTGGATGAATAATGAATGGGAGAGGAAAAGTGTTCACTGAAGCAGAAAACGTTTTCTACTTAGCTTTAATTATCATTTATTGACAGTAGTAAAAGTTATGATTAGGCATTACGTTGCTGTAAATACTGAGGCAATGAACAGTGATTACTTTAGACCTTCTGTTAACTGTACTAATCACCGTTACTAGTTCAAAAATTTCCCTAGCTTTGTGTGTAATGTTTATGAGTATCTAAGTCACTAAGCAATATGTCGTTCTATCATTCCGGTCTAATACTTAGGGCTACCAGGGAACAATGTAATCAGCTTCTTAGTAGTTAATACACAAGTAATAATGAATTTTCATCCAACGTAAGATGTATTTTGCTGCACTGCAGCTCTCTAATTGCTGCATGGTAGACGTTATGTAAAAATACTTATCACCTACAGGCTTATCAGTTGGTGTAGTTTATTGCAAAGTTCAGTCATGCAGCCGTACTTATCTTAGCACCATTGTCCAGAAAGCCTAGTCAGGTATTCATACTTTAAAACACAGAACTTGAAGAAGGTTACTTAACACCCAAAGAAGTGTCATAAACAATTAACATTATGTTCCAGAAATGTCAGACATTGTTAGTTACCTAAGCGAATTGGTTTCAAAATACTTTAGGAGATATGGAAGAATAAACGTAGGATGTCAACTGTTATAACCGGATTAGGCATAAAATTTGTTATTATGAGAATTATTAGATAAAAAGAAATTTTCCTGACAATAATAAGAGTATGAAGATGGAATACAAGTCTTTCAGATTTTTTTCTCTAACAGTGTACAAACCCTGACACCAACCTTAATATTCTTCTGTCAACTGCCATATGAGGAGAACATTTTGTCCAACCCAAAAATCATGAGGAACGTTGGTCGAAGACTTGATTGGTGAATGCACTCTTTTCCGTTGTGATCTTAATGATGACAGTGGCGTATGCGTTGACAGCCTAAGTAATATAATACAGAGTCAAATACAGTAACGCACATGCATTCATGAGCTATTTCCATCCATATCATCTAAGTCTTTCTAGCATTCATTCTTTTGTCTTTCACCCCAATAGTCACTTTCTAGTGTTTTCTTTACGAACATTTGATTTTTGCAAAGATTTTGATGTAATGATCTTAATGTCCACGTTTATCGCTTAAATATTATTCTAAGGCCCCAGAACACATAATGCTTCAAGTCTAACTATTAACCCATGGATTCATAATCGCTTTCAGTACATAAAGAAGTTTTGGTTAGTGCATGCTTACGTCAGAATTTTTTAGTTTTTTAATCTTTCCTACTCTTAATGATTGGCTCCGAATTTCGACATGATGATGTCAGCATTTGATTTTTTTCTGCAACGATGCTGTTGTGATATGAACAAATAGAGTCAACTCGTGCTACATTATTTATAGTGGATTAGATTAATAAGAACGTAATTAAAACTATATCTAAAACATTTTTCACATGACTGAATCATATCCATATCATTACACGGTTGTAAACGCCAATGCTACAGCCAAATTATCGTATGAATTACAATCAGAAAACCGTTGGAAAGACAAAATAAGCCAATGACACAGAAAGCACTGATTTTCTTAGAAGATTGCAGTCGTTTTCTGGATCGATTTTAGTCAAATAAACAAGGAATATACTTTCTGGTAACTCCCTTCTGAATTTCAGTAGTTGTTTATCCATATTTTTAGACAGAAAGATCGAATTGATCCCAACAACAGGGGACACATAACAACAACCGGGTGGTTGTAGTTTACTTAATTGTGAAAAGAAACGCGCAAGTGAGTGACAGTTTAATTTTAAGTGTTCACTGAATTCAGTCAGAAAGAAATATTCAAACAAAATGTTTTGTAAAATATTAGATGTTAAAGATGGAATGTTTTGGGTAAGTTTATTCAGTATGAATTACCAAACGTAACTAGTTTTGTATTGCTGAATTCAGTCATGAACTTTGCATGAAAAAATGTCAACATAACTAAAGGTTATATAAAATGAAATAAAAGTAATATAGTTTAGTTTGCACACATGGGTCGAAATTGGTCCAACAAACGAAGTTTATTTGAAGAAATATTATTGCCTCCAACCAACTAACAGCAATCAATGAAAGGTTGTTGCTGAGTCACCTGGCTTGGAGTCCACATTTCAAAGTGGTCGATGAAGTGTATTCAGCACTTATGACCACACAACATATAAGTGGTCACTCTTCAGTGACTAATCCGTGTACACAGTCACGTCTTGTTCAAAGTATGTGAGGCTTCTAGTGAAATTTCCATCTTCTTTTTGTTTATTTACAAGTGAGATCTAACCTTAGTGAGATACCATTACTTGCAAGGGTGCAGATAAGTACAGCTGAAGCATCTCAAAGACAGGAAAGATGTCGCAGGATTACGCAGGTAGTTATTGTCATATGTATAGTGGAATTATGATTACGAACCATATTAAGGCATGTTTATATGAAATTTATGTGACAGCAGAGATTGATACTTCCTGCTCTATAATTAAACAAAGAGAGCTGTCAAAAACGTCAAACACAATTAGTAACTATGCACACGTTGATTTTCAAGCTTATTTAGTCATATTTCAATGATCTTGGTGCTGGCAACTTACACCCAAAAGTAGAACTTGCAGCAGTATGTTTTAAGTTATTAAAATGATAAAACTAGCCCCAAGCCTATCACAAAGTGGCCGTCTGAGAAATAAACCGTTTGACTGAGTATATCGTCTATAAATTACTCAGTAACTCTAAAACTTATTCTGAATCTGTGAAGTAAATTACTTAACATGTAAAACTAATTATCTATGAGCAAAAGAAACGAAAGTGTTTTCAAGTATTAATACTGGTAATAGCAAACATACATCTGAGCCACTATTTACTTACTACTCATTTAACCCAGTGGTACATTTTGTGTTTTGGCCTGGTGGAAAGTTATAAAAGCTAAAAATTGTAGGGGAGGAATTGATATGTTACTCCATCAATGAGATGCTAACATCCATTTCTCTACCAGTCTGTCTTAAAAATAGAAACATTTCCAACTTATGATTTCATTTCACTTCGTATGATAATACAGTTACTACAAAAATTACTCTTTTTTTCTTCATTTCTAACTTAATTTAAGGAGTGATATATATACATATATAAATAGGCATGCCATACTATATTATCTAACCAACATTTTTATTACATGGTGTTTCTATAATTTCGTTTGTCTACTGTTTTTCGAGCTGAAATTGAAATAGTTTAGCGTCAAAGAATTGTAATATTATGTAGGTATCAGTCAACAGCTTAATAAGTAATTGCGTAGTACCATATAAATCCTGAAGTGATTTTCAAAACTTTGCTGAAATAGGAACATTTAAAATTTTTCTTCTGAAGATAGTAGTAAGCTTTTTAGACATCTGTAATGAATAAAGAAAGTAGCTGACATCTGTCATATCCTTCTTTCTCTCACTCACAAAGAAATATATTTCATTTCAAACTGCGTCACTGTTATTTCATTCTACAATTATCATAGAATAAGTAGGTATGTTGGCGCATAAATCTTAAAGTTTTGACAAGCAAAAAAAACTAGTACATGCATACCAGACAAAACAGCTTGACAGGCTAGAAGTTCTGATAATCTTCAGCTAATCTACGAATCATTTTTCAGTTTTTGTGATTAAGTCAGAAAACACTATGTATGTTATTTGAAATCCAGGCCTGATCAAAAATTGGGTCGTGCAATTCCGTTGGTAGTTAACTCGGTGATAACTTAGAAACAGCTGGAAATATGTATCACTTGCCTCAGATCCGAAAGATGAGGGTGGACTGGGTATCACTCTACTCGATTTCGCTAGATTGTAATGGCAAACATTTTCTTTCTTTGAGTGCGTTCATCATGAGGAACACATTAATTTTACGAATTAACTTCCAATAATAAATTCATAAGATGTAGGTGACCTGTCCATTCTGCGATATGTCTGTGAAACCTGAACGTTAAAGGCGGATGATGTAGGAATGCTTCAAATGTTCAATCACCACTGACCTCTTGCCATCTGATGTGTTGTGGAACCATGCCATTTATATTACAAAAGTCAGGCTTATAATTTAAGGTAAAGAGGAGCGTCAGCTTATGAGGCTATGAAACTTCATGGATTCATACGACTGGAACATATGCTACACATGACCAGGCACAGTTTGGCTCATCATGGATTGTTATCTGATGTAAAGTGAGTTGTTCTCTGAGTTACAGTTTAAGTTGGCAAGTGTTTAAATAGCCTGTCAGATATCATCGTCATTACATAGAGGTTTCACTAAGAAACTAAGTAACTGGTTGTGTAAGAATATTTATAACTTTTTAATTTACCTGAGTGAAATCTGTTGACTACGCATTTGTTTTGTAAATAATATATAGTAGCGATTTTGTTGGTTATCTTGACACTTGAATTTCAAGTGGATTTATCAATCTGTCTTTTTCAAGATATACTCGATGTATGGGAGAACGATCTCTCCGTTAACTTTTGTAGCAGATTTTGATTTTCATCATTTGGAAAGTCATTTGTTGATGAAATTCTTCGAATATTTTTTGAGTTGGAAAGTTTTCCGCAACAATTTTTACGAACTCTTTGATTCTGTTATACTGCAGTATGTCTACAAATCGAAAGACCCAGTCATGTAAGAAAAAATAACTAATGTTAAATACAAGGTCAGCTGCGATTATCTCGGATACCCTTAGGTAGGACAATCAAGTAGACCAGTAATACAGTGTCTATATGAACACAAGTTGGTTGTCAAACTTCATGATATGAAGTTTCCCATTTTAATAAACTACAGTGACCACAACTATACCTTCAACTGGGAGAATTTTGACATACTCAAAAGTGTATACTGGAAAGCAGTTACAGAATTCTTGAAAGCGTTCCACTGAGGCAAATTATGTTTCGTCACAATGACCTGAACGAAATATAACAGACTATATGAAACAAATCAACTGCAGGAATCGACTGACCCAAATGCAAAGAAGACGGCGTAAGGAAAAAGAGGACCATCAATCAATCAAATAATTTTGTTTAAAACTAATAGTCTGCGTATATACAATATGATTAATTAGACATCTTATGTGCATTTTTACAGGATATTGAAAATTACAAACTTACGTTAGCTGTGAGAGATATGATTTGTACAGTAGTATCAAGCATATTATCAAAATGCACTGGTTCTGTCCACGGGCTCCAGAGTTGATGTTCTAATACAAGAACACGTAAACTGATTTTTTCCCATTATTTTTAAAAAATGAAGAAACAAAATTACCATTATTCATACAAACTACGTTTCACATGTATCAGATATTGTGGATTAAATACTACGAAATAAACAAGGTAATCCTTACAAAACTACCAAATGGTTTTAAGTTTTGTGTGTATCATAACACTGGTACGGTCATCATAGTGAAGTTCGTGCTTGTATGTCCACAAAAAAGTCAGATTTTCGTACCTTTTAGTAATTCGAATAGGTAATTTAACCAGTAAATGCATTTTCTTGAAGCAGCTAGTGTCAGGCTTCCGTGTGAAATGTTGTAGTTATTTCAGAAATGACATAACTTACCCAAAGATAAACTATATCAAGTGCCTGATTCAGTATATTTTCGGGTCACTTTTTCCAAGGTCCTTCTGATTGTCACTTAATACGGAAGTGTTTCACAAGCAACAATGTAATTGTGAAAGGTTCTGCCTCATTCATTTTATTGAAAAGGTTAAGTAACGAATTCTAATGAAACATGCAATACTTGTCAGTTTTATTGGTGTGTTAAGTGAGTAAATACTAGTCTGCCAAACTACGGCTATTTTAGATAGTCAAATCATAATAAATATATGGTAATAAAAGTATACTACCACCGAGAACCTCCATTTTGTTCAACTCCCTAATTTTATTCCCTCTGTAGTATAAGTTCCCAAATGGCCAGTCTGTAATGAAAGTTCGAACTTCATCATGCAAAGAAGGCAGCTCAGAAACTTTATGCAGAGTTCTCAACTCTCAAGGTGCCAGTTAAACCAAAAAACTGATTAAGAAAGAAGTTTTGCTGGTTAAACTATCTTATAAGTCCAGTAAGCCAGACCACTTTATTTCACCTAATCCCTTGCAATGACTGCAGTGGTAAACACACAAGTCAAAGTGGCGGATCAGAGTCAATTACAATAACAACATAAAAGTATAGCTAAATCAAGATTAGATAAGATACGAAATTTTGGGAGAAGTTCAACTATAACTCTGCATGCGATCGCACATAATCACAAGATAGGTTGGGATAGAGTGACAGTATAAAGAACTAACTTATTTGGGTGTAGGGAGGGACTGATAGACGAATCTTTGCTTATTGAATCACCACCAAGTATATGCAATGGGAATGATTCTGCACCTGTCCTAGATATATGGGAAATTCCTTTTCCTTTGTCACAAAAAGAGAGAGGATTTGAACTGTTTAAATTGCTCCAAAGTTGTGAATTTACCTGTCCATATTAGTATAAGGACAATAAATTATGTCCGGAAGGTTATCCAGTAAAAGATACTGTTTCACTGCATGACATTTCTAATAAGCAGACTACTATGAAATTACGATCTGCAACAGTGATCAAGTTTTACTTCTATATTTATGAACTCCCTGGTTATTATGATAAACTATCCTTCATAGAGTAAAGTCTGAACACTTACTCTGTAGTCAGAAGTATTTTAATTGGCACTATATTCTTTTTTCATATAAAATCGCTAGTACTCATATGTGTTTAGTTTGCAGGATTTTTCCGCATCATACACAATCTGAAAGCAAAAGATTGATTAGTTTACCTGAAATTAAGTCACTTCGAAGCGATTACTCATGAAAAAAACATTGTAGCACTTCATAGGCATTAGCTGAGTTGTTGGTACCTGAGGTGGATTTCGATGGTGAACCACACTTTTCCAAAATCTTATCTCATAAACAAACCAAGTTTAGCTGCAAAATAATTGAAACTAGGGGTCAGATATTTTAGTTTCAGATGACCTGTAGTCAAGTCTTAAGGTTGTAAACAGATTCACTAACTGTGCTCTAGAAGGGAGTTTATCAACGAACAGCTATGTTTGGAATAAAATCAGAAGTCTGACAATAAGCTTCATCAGCTTTCACCCTCGTAAATAGGGTCGAAGCACTGTGAGTAACTCAGTTTCAGTGACTTTTTTAACAATTACTTAATTATTCAACCATATGATTTACATCCTACAAAGATTTCAGTTTCTTTATGTCACTCAGGGATGCTGGGTTCAATCATCGATGAAGATCAGTTTACTCGTGTTCGCAAAAATGCCTTCCTGATAAATATGAAAGAGTTCAACAACCAAATCTCATGGTTTTTGCAGACCGATGGTTCATGACTAGCATAATAATCGGAAGTCCATTTATAGCTCTCGATAAAATAGACAGCTGTCTTCCTATTGTAACGGTAAGAAGGCAAGAACATTCAAGCTTCACGTCCTTGTAAGAAACAAGGATATTCAAGTATAAATATTTGTATGTAGATTGCCCATGATGACAACTTCAGGTACTTCAATTCATTCTGTTCTCTAAAATGCATAACTTGCAAGGTTGGAGAATACAAATGAAGTTTTATAAAGCATTCAAGTGCCTTTAGCTGTTCACATTTTAGCTGTTTCTGAGGAATGATGATACTATGGTTAATTTGTATATTGTCTGGAAGTGTTAACGACCCCAAAAGATTGAACTTACGAATAAGAGTTTTGTGGATAGAATAGATCAGGTGAATCAAGTATAATACTTGTATTTTCATAAATATTTGGAAGAACTGCAAATTCTTCTTGATTAGACAATTTTTTTGAAATTTTATGCTGATACAGATATCCTGCTATCGATCTAGCTTTACGGTCTCTTCCTAGATGTTTTAGACCTAACTGATAATGCATCCCACTGATCGGACTATTATGGACGGCCCATTTGATGTGAATTGCCATTGTAAAGTTTGCCAAACGCTTGACAGTCGGCCTTGATACTGTAAATTAAAACAAAAAAAGCATTCGTTCATGCCTAAAAAAGGTATATAATTAATTTTGACTTCAGAATTCGGTGGTGTGGATTATTTCAACACACAGATATAATTCGTCGACATATTTATTCTGTTGTAGAACGATTGTCTTATTATAAAAGCATTTTTGAACATTTTACGACCAATTTTATGCTTTTAGGAATAACCTTACAGACAAGTTAGAAATGGAATATCGTTTAGATGATTTTGAAATCTGTATTTTCAATCCAACGTGACAGGTTGTGCAAGAAGCCAACAGAATTGTATTTTAGATATACAGGAAGTGAGTATCACTCCTTTTATCTGGCAGTAATAAAGATTACACTTAATGTGAGTAATTGGGTTTTGATCGATTAACTATGTACTTTATTTGCAGAATAGCGGGAAACTTTGGAAATCTCTAGTTGTTTTCATCTGTGAATTCGATGATAAGGTGTTTTGCTACACTGCCATATCATTGTACGTGCACTACATTTTAGGTTTTGCAGAAAACAATCATTGATGGAATGTGTTAGGTGATATTGCAGAAGATCAAGAGGCGAACCATATCATCTGATACTTTTAACCAGGATAACTAAAGAAAATCACAAACCGTTAGATTTGATATTTTTAATGAAGTGAAATTATGCAGTTATAACAGTACTGTTACAGTAAAGAATGAATTAATTTCGTTAAAAGTTATACTTCTGTGTTGATTTTTTTCCAGTTTGGGTATAGCTAAAGAAGATTCTGAGAAGTGGAGATACAATAACCAAAATAAGGCTTGGTATAAAATTATTGCTGCATTGGAACAGTCAGTGTTATTGGCGGATGGAGATCAAGTCAAATAGAGCGATGGAGTGGTAATCTGTTTGGTGTTTTAGTTGTGCAACGAAATCAATAATGAGGGAAGGGAACGACAAAGGGCATCAATAGTGCAGTTCTCTCAAACCCAGTGGGTCAAGGTAGATCACGCCCTTTCTGTAGTGTGCCGTGTCCCCTGCAGTCTTCCTAACGGTTTACGGCTACCTGTCTTGTCCATAACTGAAGCCATAGGTAACAACACAAGAAAACTGGACCTATACGTTCAAAGAAAATATGTACGTCTACTTTGTCTACCTTGGCTCGCACTAGGGTCGGCGTGTTCTTTGTGAACTTCCCTACCACAAATTGCACATTTTAACCTCCCACTCCTTTCTTCTATTTTGTCATTACATTAATAAACATTCAATTTCTTATGTCATTAGTTTTATGCTCTTCTTAGTCATTCCACTGCTGGTAGTCATTTTCAACCGTGATGCATTACCTCACATTTGTTAGCCTCTATTTCGTTAAATTATTCACATGATTTTCACCCCAATTGAATATGTCACCACAACATAATTATTACTTGACCCTTAGTAAAGAAACACACAATCAAGCCCATTAAGTGCCTTTAAGTGAATCATTTTCTGTAGATTTTGTTTCTGCATTTCGTAAGTGATCTGTCAACATTGATTTCATTTCACAACGAACACATAAGACGGATTAACATTCCACCATTCCATTCGATTTGATCTCCCTTCACCCATAACATTGACTGTTTCAATACAGTAATATTTTTTCAACAGACCTTATTTTGGCCATTGTATTTCACTTATTCCCATGGATCTATAACTATAGAGCCTGAAGAAGTTACTGAAAACAACTGTTCGCTCAAGTTATTCTTGTTCTGAATAATCTATCGGTATCTTTAAATTAGTAGACTAAAAAGGCAACATAGTACTCTGCAAATACTATTTTTACTGTTTCTTGAAAGGTCAAGAGCATAGCGACAACGGGATGGTTATTTGTTACATAGTGTCACAGGTAAATACAACTTAAATTTGACCTCATTTCTTATTTTTCCTATTTATAGGATGCATTTTAACAGCTTTTGTTCAAGAATAATCAGTTTGTCTCTACGTACCTTTGACCTGAGATACCTCATTAGGACTTTCATGCTTTACAGAGATTTCATTCTTTTGCCTCCCAAAAGAAGATTCATGTTTACTTTGAACATTTAATGGAGGTGGAAATATTTTTTGGGAAACACTTGGACCATGACTTGGTATATTGGTAGGTTTTCCTTCGTCGTTAATTGATTCTAAACGATATGAAAAAAGAACAGCTTTAGTATAAAATAACTCTGTTTATAGTGGAAATCCTTGTTGATAAAAGAATACCAAGAACCTAATCATGTAGGAGTTAGAGTCCGAATACAGTTATTTGTCATTAGAATTTCTGAAGCAGCTGATTTCTCGTTTCGTTTAACAGACCAAAGACATAATCTATTTCGCGACAGCATTGTCTTTTTATGGTTTTTCAGTGTAACCCTTAACAGGGGAGCACACTGCCGATAAATAGTGAATATGAAAGTCTATGTTGTCTTATGTAGGTTATTTATAGGAAGGTATTCTAAAATATTGCTTACAATATACTAATAAAGTTACACAACGTATTGCCTAATTTATATCACATGAAATACAACAGTGAATATATGCATTTCTGAATAACAAGCCACGAACCACACCTGTTGTAGTAGCTGATAATAATACTATCATATGTATACTTCAGTTGATAAAGTAGTGTTCAAACTCGAAACCTACTAGCTGGAATTTCAGCTTTACCTCCGGCCAACCAGAAGCTCGTATCTGGTAAATTTACTGTTCCAGATAATCTACACTCTAAGCACAAACTAGTGGAATAATATTTTAATTTTCATGCAAATCAATTAAGTTGAATTGCCTGGATACTAATAAAGAGGATTTAAAAAATACGCACGCCAAATATATCATTTTTATTTTACTTCAATAAATTTGTCTTCAAAATTCATAATCTGATGTTCAGAAAGCGGAGAAATTCAAAAAATTCACCCATTAAAATGTATTGTTTTGATTAATTTATCTGTGTGTATATGATACAGTCGTAAGTCACGTTTCTGTTTTATTCGATGATTTTTAACTTAGTAACTTCTGTCAGATATATCATACTATTTCCACAAATTTTATCTGAAGTTCGATCATCAGGAACTTATTATAGATTGGGCCTTCTACTGCGAAACCTCAATATTTGTTCAGAGAAAATTTGAAACAATATTTAACCTTGAACATGCTGACAGTGTTTAGGTGATTACTTGATGAGAATCTGTTTTATCAGCATTCGCTTTTAGGTAAATCGTGAACGTAAATATCATACTAGCCAAGAAACGTATAATGTTATGAGCACTTTTGTAAAATTTTGCCCTCGAAATTTTGCCAACGATAAGCTTTGAGTTCTTGTCTTAAATGATCTGATTTGATTGTTTCTCTGAATAAACTAATACCAAATCGTTAGACGAAAGTTTAAAATGATTTCGTACAGATAAACTAATAATTAGCCAAAAAACAATTTACTTTATTATCTAATTGTTCTAGACAGACATAATGACACGGTTTATTAGATTTTCCCCATTTAGAAGTTGTCATTCAATGGCAGAAAAGGATGAGCGTAGCCCGTAATGTACTGCTTCATTTTAAAAGAAAAGATTGAAAATTTTCTGACAACTTAATATTGGTGTAATAAATATGTTTGTTTGTTGAAATTTCTCCACACTGTAAATATCAGACAGCAATACACTATATTCACAAGATACTTACGAATAATAAGTTGAAATCGTCTTTCACCTAGAAGTTTGCCAGTTGTTGTATTGTAAACTCTAAAATGAGATCACAATAAAAGACATTAGAAACTGATCTTGCATGCTTTATGTGGCCACTAATTTTTCGAGTGAACCATAACACGGTGACATGTGAAATACTGTTTTATCTGAAGTGTTATAATCTTTAAAAAAATGTGATAATAGTTTTTTGTATAGTTTTTGAAAGAGGTAAGTTATAAGGTAATTTTTGGAATATAGTCTATATGCATATAAGCTTTTAACTGTTGAGTATTTCTTATCGTTCAAAATACCTGTAATCCTTCTCAGTTTATGGCGTAGAGGTTTTTCCAGTTCGTGATGGAGAGAAATGTATATGGAGATGAGCGATAAAGACAGCGATAGTTTAAAATAGCACTTCAAATTCCCTTTCCTTCTTAAGGTGTTATCTACGTCGAGGTTACAATAATGTTTCTTCCCAAATCCTACTATTTCAGTAGTTGCATTAGGGCAATACGAAATGTTCTTATGCTGAGAGAAAAGTTTGCTGGCTTAATTTATCATCATGCAACAATGAAAAACTGTTGTCTTCTCTCCTTAAATCTTCAAAAAAAATGCAGTAGTAAAATATAGGTTTTGTAGTTTCAGTACCATCTGTGCCAGTGAAAACTAAGCTGATTTTGTATCCTGTTGGTAATATTTTCAGCACTTCCTTTTGGCTAACCTAAGCAAAGTTGTCCCACTTCCTAGCCTATACTTCACGTCATTCTGTTTGCCTAGCTAACCTTCAGTGAAACTGAAATAAATGATACTCAAAGATAAGTGATTCCAAAATTAGAATAAACATCATTGCCTTTGACAGTAAGTTTGAGAATGGTGTGGTAAGTAAATATCAACATTACTACAAAGAATCTGAGTCCTAGGATTCCTTTAAACGCACTAGTAAAACCGATATAATGCTCCGTGGTTTCCAGTGATTTCTCCGTTTTCGAAAGAAAAAAATAGCTAGGAGTCTGTTTGAAATTTTTAACTCGTCGCACTGATTCCCTTAGGTATTCCACGTAAACCTCTGTCTTTGCTTTAGCCTAAATCTAAAAATTTTCGTGGAGATGGTTGCTCTATGACAGTATTTAAACAAACAGTTTCGGTTTGACATGTGGCCTCGATTAAAGAATGAATTTCTTAAGAGATTGTTTTATTGTGTACTTGGATTTTTATGGCAAAATTAGTTGTATTTACATGGAAAAGAACGATATACCCTAATTAAAAGCCTCTTTTAAAATAAACAAAGAAAAAAACTTTTCATACCAATGTCAATCTACCAATTTTTCAAGGTTGGTTTTTCCATCGGAGAACTTATTTGACAGAAAATAACAGGACAACTAAGCAGCTGATTCATCCAAGATTCCCTGTCACATTAGTCCTCATTAGCCCATTTGTCTTTCAAGTAGTTATTTGTTTATTAAGTGGTCAACCTATAAATATCCTTAGAAATTGATGTAATATGAACAACTACTTCATTACTGCGAATGAGGTTGTCAGTTTTTAAAATTCTTTAGGTTAATCAAGGTTTCGCGTCTCATATAGGGAAAATGAAATCGTTTACTATTGTATTGAATGGCATTCATTTTATTTAGGCAAGTGATTTATCTGACAACTTTCTAGCTACTCTTCGTCTTAAGTAAAACAGCTCTGTCTTGTTTTCTGTCAAAGCAGCTGGTCACTCCATGTTCGCCGTTTGACAGAAGTACTTTTCAATGAGTCATCAGAAGGTGAATACTTTAATTTTGGATTCATACTAGTTTTGATGGCTTATTTCGGAACATACATATACTTAAGGAGTCTAGGCGAATATCACACGCATTTGGTGTGAATAATCAAATAATGGCCAAGTATTTGCCAACGAACTAAATCTTATTCTACACTGCAAACAAGAATTACAACTACAAGGTTGAGGAAACTTTCGTTCTGATCTTCCTCAAAGTCGTAACAAAGTGGCTGACCTACTATCTTCTGCACTCATACAGTTGACCTACTTCAAGATACACTCCTTGAAGTTTTAATGAGAAACTGTGACACTTGGTATCAACCAAACTGTGTGTGAAGACAATGATTTTTCGATGTCACTGAATTATGGTTTCTTCATGTTACGAATTGACATAAACAGGAAACTCATTACTCGAAAGGTAAGGTGTTCATAGTGAAGCCTGTCAGTTTTGAATCACTCCTCATAAGGTTGTGAGCATTCACTACTGCTGATTCTCAAACCATGCTGAACCAGCTATTCAGAGATAAGATACCTCCTGTTGAAATGAAATTATATATACAGATATTCCTCTTCTTCTTCAAGATGTTTCAGCCTGAGGTGAAATCTTTGTGGCTGTGCATTATGTACAACTACTACCATAATTTTTCTTGATCCCATCCCAATCCATTTGCGTAATCTGCAGTAAAAATGTTAAGATGTAGCTACTATTAAGTAGCGAGTCTTAGCGTAATCACCTGCAGTTTATCTTAACGCTCGTCATTCTAATATTCATTGACTAAAACATGTCTGATCAATTTACCTAAAATGATTAGTGAATTTTCTCAAGCTTTTTTCCATTATGTCATTACTTATGATATAGAAATTATTATTGTTTATAAATTGTAGAGAGACTAGTTAATAGAGGTTTCTTTGTTTTTTAAGTATTTTACTAGAAGAAGGATGAAGACGAGCTTGTTAGTTTACTAAATGATAAATTTATTTTCCTCATTAGGAGATATAAGCAAATAAGTAAGATCTGTTAATCGAATTGTTTGTGCACCCTCAAATCTTTCAGATTGACAACGGCCTCGGAATAATCTTGTCTTACAACTTGCTTTTAAAATGGTTGCAAGGACAGCAGCAAAATAAGCTATATTTAGAGATGACCCTTCTAACAGTCCATCTCAAAATTTGCTCTGTCTTCTTTCACTATTGTTCTCAAACAAGTCGTGTCAACAAACCACTATGTGGAATACTTATTAGATTATTTTTATTGAATTGTTATTATAACGCGACTTGTTAACTGAGTAAAAACCTGCAATGACTTTCACTATGTTATTATGCTTGAGTATTCTGTTTTCTTTCCCGTCATCTTAATGCTCATCTTGAATTATCACTCTCCTAACAACTTTGATAAGAAGGCTATTAGTTTAGAACTAGTGAAATAACTACCACCAGACAATTATAAGTGGATTGTTGAAGGAAGCCTACATATTAACTGAAAGCTAATGGTGACGAGCTTGTTGAAAATACATTTACCTTAGTCCAACTAGCTGCTGGTTGAATGTTTTAACCGTAGTCTTGACTTTTAAGATATCCGTTTCCTTATCAGTAAATATGAAACCAACTAAACCATTTGGATCTTCTGAACACTTCGTAGTATTAATTTATTGAACATTTTGGTAACCTAAGTTCAGGTTTGGTCCTCATAAAAACGGTGAACCATAAAGTGCTCTTGACCAAACAAATGAAGTATTCAAAAGCGTTTTTCTCTTATTTTAGATTAGAGTTAAACTGACTACTTATTTGAATCTGTTAAGGTGATTTCGACTTTTGAAAAACGGTAGCATTTCAGAATATGAGTCAACTTATTCTTTTCTGAAATAAGTAGAAGTGTTTGAAGCAAGGCACTATAAGCAAAAGATACCCATTTGTTCTTGAAGTAATGACTCTACAAATTTTGGATGAATCACATAAATATAATGTTACTGTTTAATCATAAGTAGACATTCTTTTTCTGATATTCGATCTTTTTACTCACATTTTTAGGTGCTGATTCATATATCGAGATGTTTAGCGTAATCAAACAAAAAAACAAACTAAATATGCTCAATGTTTATTTTAGTTCATATTATTAAAGGCCGAAATTAAAAAACGTTTCAATACATCTGACAAAGCATGAATACGCTGTTACCCAGTTAAACAGTTTATGTATAATTAGAATTCATAATTCTTTAAAAGAATTCAGCACCAAACCCTGATCTTGGGTTTCGTACTTGCTAGGATCTCTTTTGATTCTGATGATTCTAAAACGATTTAAACACCCTTCACGCAATGTCATCAACAGATACATTTCCACTGAGGCCTTTTCGTTGCATCTGAACTCCTAAAAATCTAGACCACAGCCATAGGCTTGTTATCTGGCATCAAGTCCTATGACTTGGTGATGACTGTCTTCAGCAACCCAGCATCCAGATATAATACATATGCTGTCAGGTATATAAACACTCGAAGCCTATTTTTTTACTCCAAAGTTTTCGTCTAAGTTTACGTAAGAAAAACGTTCTGTGCCTTTGCATATCTTCAACGTTAATAACGTTTATTTTTCTGCCTATTGGGACCCGTGTTTGAAAAATTTTACGTTGTTCACTTCAGGATTATTTACTGTAAATCAATTTTCTCAGGGAATCACTGTGGCGTTTTCTGAACGGAACACCTCTAAGAAGTGAAATTTTGAGTATATTTCAGTTTCCATCGTGAAAATTTTGGAAAATGTTTGGTATTCTTCGAGCTATAAAGTTTGTTCGTGAGCGAACTCATGACCTTTATTAAACATAAGCGGTATGGCTTTTAGGCTGCTGTTTTCCCTACAGCGTCAACCATTTATCTCTAATATAGTTGGGCTTGTCGATCAGAAGATATACTTATTTGTTCCCCGTACCAAAAAAGGCAATTATTGAAGAACGGAGACAATAATGAATTTTTTGTTACTTCTTCCTTTTCACCGCAAAGAAAAACTTCTCTGCTGAATTGTCTTTTAGTAACCACTCAACTCAGTGCGTATGCTAAGTTGTTATTCACATACCATTATTTTTATACCCAAAGAAGAAATGAGTGGCTTCAGGCAGTGAATAAAGAAGCATAAAGTGATTTGCAAATCAGTGTGAAGGTAAAGAGTGGGCGACTCAGTAATCATCATTAGAGGAAAACCACTTTCGAAACGCTATTCAGTAAATGACGTTGCTGAATATGTAATAAATGTGACCTTTCAACTGAAACAAATTGTTTTTAAAAATTACACGAAAATCACTGTACACCCTATTTATTCTTCAAGTGAAAATTACTTAGGTCTGACTATGCATATATACATAGCAATAACCATTAGAGAATGAAGTTCAGCAAAGTAAAGGAGTTGAAGTCAAAAGTACGTACATAGGTCACTGAAGTGATAAAGTTGGTAAGTGCACAAGTCGAAGTAAGTTAATAAAAGGTTAGGCTGACACATGTTCAAAGATACTTTAGGTATTATAAAGATGCAGGTTTAAGAGGTTAATCTATCACATATATGATTTTGCAGGCAGACAGAAATACTTTGTTAGTTGACACTGATACACTTTAGACTAACTGTAGCGAACCGTAAAGCTACAATGTGTATGCTGGTGCATAGAACAAGTATTTCGCATAGTTAAATATTATCAACTCAAAGTACACATTTCGGATTTCTAATATTATGATGTAATGAATATCTTTTACTACGTGCCTACATTTTGTTTACATCATTAAATTCAAACATCAGCATATCTATAAAGATCATATTTTACTTTGTGATAAAAATGCACATAACAGTTTTAAGTTAACCATCATTTAGCCGTTAGGCGACTTTGAAAACTATTCCACTCCTACTTTTGGTCATGCTGATTGGGATTTTTATTCTCTATAAATTCTACTTGTGATAACGTCACGCCTGTGAAGTTCTGGCATGAGAAATGCAATGTGTTTCTTGTTGAGGCTCAAGCCCAGAACTCATCGCTTCAAAAGCCAAGGCGTCACTTATTTAGTTACCGACAGATGGGAGTAGCTGGGGTAATTAGTACTGGGTTCCAGCTTCGTTGGGAACATCATTCATTAGGAGAGTTGCAGGTACATCCGGATAACGAGCCCAATACAGGACGAGCAAGCCTCCTGGATTCCATTACTAGATACCACAATGCAAATCAAAGCATAATAAATACTCGAGCAGTATCAAGGTGTCCACATAGAAGCCTACGCGCCAACAAAGGTTGATCAAAGCAACCTATTAGGAAATCGGTAAATTACACCTATAAATAAAACTTTACATTTCGCAAATCATTTGTTGATTGGTTAAAAATGAAGTTACTCAATTGATATAATATCACTTGTCTTATATAAGGCGGAAGATAAAACACTGAAGCATCAAAAACACAATTTACGGTTAGCAGATCAAATTAGAACTATTTCACCTCACCTACAAATGTACTGACCGTCATCGGTAATCTTTTTGGGGTTCACAATACTAAGAATTTGGGTGAATTCGTTCACATTGCTGATTATATATTTAATACCACCAGATGCTTTGTTAATCGACTCTATATTTAAGGGTTCCGTAGATGTTGCACTTCGATACCATAAAATCGACCACTGGTACTGATTAAGCCCATTAGCACTGTGATAATCTCTTGTTTGGAGCAACGATGATAAATTACAGTTCAAGTGTCCAGTTAATCCTTCAGATGTATGTTCAAAAATTGTTCTGAATTGATCATTGATTTCTAAAATGAAGCAGTTTAGAGTTATGATGTTCATTTTGTTGAAAAATGATGTAGTACTATTGAAATAATAGCAATATTACTAGCAGAAGACATAGTTTTCAGAAACTGTCGCGCTTACTAACACATATATTAGGAATAATAAGTAAGCGAAAGTGAAAACGTTTAGTCGACTCTATATATTTGATGGTTACATAAAGTGTGCATCGTTTGATCTTTCATTGTTTCTTTGCTTATGTGTGATGGTTCTTCCGTTTAAAATAGGTTCTCAAACACTAAGTAGAGAGTGATACAATGTATATTTGAATGGAACAAAAAGTGATCAAACTCTGTGACTTTCAGAATAATCGTCTGCGAAACTTATGAGTCTAAGTGACCCTGCAGATTGCTGGTAATATCTGTCTGAAAGCTTTATACTGCTTAGATGAGTAAGCACTGAAACTTATTTACTGGTCCTAGAACATTCCGATAAAGTGCTTTTCTACCAATGTATATTTGAAATAATTTGCAAAGTCTTCTGTAATATCGAATAGAGCTAAACACTGAATAAGGTTTGAAGACACGTGTACCCTTTTTTCAGACAGTAAAAGAAGTCATGGTAACTCTTCTTGATATACAGTCATTGTCACTAGTCACCAGTTGAGGTTACTTTCACAAAACGCAATAGAGGAATAAAGGTCCTGCAAGAATAATCCGATTCATCGACAATTTATACAACTACACGATGAATGGAGAGATAATACTACGTAGTGAAATCTTTTTTACCAACACATTTATGCTACTTAAGGGATCAATTCATGATAAGAACTGGGGTTTCGATTTCTGCAGCAGCGTTACGGACATTTTGCTTACGTTAGTAAGTTAAAACGAACTAAAAAACCTTCGGCTATTTCTGTGACTGGTATTGGAATATTAGTGAAAATCTTCCAAAAGATCGCTGTTTAAGATATTTCTGGAAGATAAACACGTAAAATGAAGGCTGTTTTATATGTAGTATAGTTTAATCTACGATTGAATGACTAGCAAAAAGCTTATACTCTCAATAAAACTAAAGACAGAATAGTCAGACAATTTTCACGTAGTTTTTATTGGTTGATATAGGGCTCATGTGCAAATTAGGCTTAACTTCTAGGTCTGGTATTTAATTAGCTTGAAACTCATGAGTGTTTGTAAGATAATAAGTGTAAAATGAGTGCAATGTTGTACGAAATGGGTAAATATCATGTAATTCTTTATTTAATATCATTCCTGTGACAGTAACTCCTGTTATTATAATTATTCTTATTAATAGTATTTTATATTCAGACTTTGAAGGGGTCAACACAAACAAACAAATGCATTCTTTTATGCATTACTAATTGGTGTCATTAACAAGTAGCTGATATACATGTACATATATATGTAATAATATTAAGCATTATACTAATCAAAAATACATGAAAGAGAAATCTCTATGCTTAGTTATAGAACAGCTGTTAATGAAATTTTCAGTGAAGAGAAAATTAGGCCTGTTAGATTTAATTATTTCCGTATATAACTGGAAATTAATGGTAGTTGGATTGATGAAAAAGGTTTGATAAACAACTGTTACATTATTCACTATTACATTTATTTAAATACTACTCGAATAGTAGTGATACTAAAATAAATAAATATGAACATTACCAGTATGTACAATGTTTTCAGTGTCCAATTGAACAAAATATTTACAGTTGACTAATTTGTATTGAAATTCATTTTCTGTACTACTGATGTCAGTACTACTCGTTCGTCGATTGATACTAACGTACTGATAGATTCCAGTATCTGAATGCGAGGTGTTCAATATTTTCAGTAATCCATCTAATTCCCCAAACAATTTATTAGGAAGAAATCGAAAAAAGGTTTTACTTCATGAGTTTTGAACAGTTTCAATCTAGATTATATATATGTATATATATATATATATATATATATATATATATATATATATATTCTAAAATGTGCATCATGAAAGGCGTATTTACCTAGAGAAAAATAACTTGGCACAGTAGCTTATAGTTCAAACTAATAACCACTGAATCTCTTCTTAATTAATTTAGTGGGATATACTCTAGCATTTAAGAACATTTGAATCTTACTACAGAGAATGGATTTGTTATCAAATTCTGAGTAGTTACACGATGCTGTCAGTAAGTTTGTTGTCCACAGTGAATGAAAATAAAAGTTACATTTATGGTTTAATTTCATGACAGTTAATCAAAACAATTTACTTTTTCACCTTGTGCAAATTTAAAACAGAACTGAATTACCTAAAAAACTCATTCCCCTTGTGAATCAAAACCCCATGTGCTTCAGAGTAATGAGATTTTGACAAAAAGTGGAAATCAAAGGACTTCTCATATTAAGTTTAGTTATGACTATAAAATGCTGGAATGTGAAGTGGGGTGTTCTAGAACAGGATACCGGTACAAAACTAACGGGTTTTACTCCTAGCAATCCGTTACTGAGGTATGAGACCAGTTTGAAACTTTTCTGACGGAAAACTGACGTACTTTAGTACAACTTTTATAAACTAAATTATAAAGTGGATTTTCACTGCTTTCTGTTAACCGTCGGCACTATGCAGTATTTTTCTAATCACCTCTGAGGTCATTTCCACATTTTATGTCGAAAATGTTTTTCATATACTGAATAAGAAGATCATTAGCATTTTTATTTACTTATGTTCATTCGGTTGGGATTCGTGACACTCTGTTTCTCAACAAACTTATCCAGATTACATTGAGTAGTACATAACTTATCACTCGCAGCTTCTTGATTTCAAGTTACATAATGTGCTTCATGTTATTATTCCTATGTAACTTTTTCAAGGTATAAATAAATCTCCATACCTTCGAGATAAATCAGCTGGATTAGATCAAGGCAACCTGACTGGGCAGCTAATGTGAATAGAATGAATCGAAAGGTATGTGTCAGGTATACAAACGACAGATGGGTAATCCCATTGGTAACTGAAGTGATTTTGCTACCTGCTCACTGAAGGGTCACTTAGTTCAGTAGCTATACCACCAGGTCGATAATGTGCAGGAACCAAGTTCGAATTTTTCTTCCAATATGTTGATTCTAATTTTATTTCCTAGGATCAGTAAAATCAGTTTATCTAACTGTGACTATCTCATATAGGTTGATCAATATTAAGTTATGATAAATTTACATCTTTTCGAAGAACTAATTGAATATTATGTTACTCAAAACTTTTCATGGCTCCTTAGGTCCTGGAAAGTGAGCAAGTAAATATTATCTTTAGAAACTAATAGTTGCCTTATATAACATGTTTCAGTGACACGACTGCTATTTAGTTATACTTGTACTTCCAAGTTGGCTGATAAATTGAACCAGACTGAACAGTCTGTGTTCATCCGTTGGCTCCTGTGCAGATGTTCGATATTTTCTCAAGATCATTTTAGTCTAATCTGCTTGATGTTGGCTAGTGGTGGAGTTCAAGATGCATATTCTTTTTCCTTTAGAACTCATCGGCAGGACGTCACTCTATTCCAGTATCATCACAGACTGGGAGCTAGTACCTGCCACTTCAAACGGCAAAGCGTTATCCACTAAGCTAGAGTTACGATGTAATGCCTGCAATTCTCAAATTCAGTGAAACGCATGTCCTGGGTTTCGATGCAAGCTATCATCAAGGCAAATAAACTAGCTCAGTACCACAGCTGGGCAGCTGAAAAACCATCCTTACTCCTAGCGAACAAATACAAGTGACTTTAGATGGACGTGTTACTCTGTGCCGATCCTAACAAACTGGTGAAAAGCACTCTACTCTGGAAAGATGGTTATACTAACTTTGAACTGAGAAGGGAAACGTTGTTTGTTGACTAAAAACCGCCTACTTGTCTATATTTAACATTTATGAACACGTTCACTTCCACAAATCCAAACTTAACTCTGAGTAAAACGATACATATATCATTATCGAGTATACATTTTTGAGTAGCGTGACAAAGCCTCAATCTGACAGCAACTGTCCCTAAAGAGGCAGATTTTTTCCTTAAATTGCTTGTATCTACAAATTTCTTCAATCACTCAACAAAACCAATATTAAAAGAATATGTAGTAGATTATTAGATGCGGAGTAATTCAACCAGCTTTTGTATCGTGTAAGATACTGGATATCTAGCACACAAATGCTTAACAAAATGTAATTGCCTTTAGGTAATGACTGGCAAACAAAGAATGATGATTGGTCACTGCACAGTAATTCTTTTCATGCAGCCTTGTCCTGAGTACTGACTGCATTTTATTGATAATTTTCAAATGCATTCTCCAAGATAGGTGACTTAACATTGCAGTGCATTCTTGCAGAAGTTAGATGGATGGAGTTAAAAAAAGGGGACCCGAACGAAACAGTCAGGGAAATGAAGATATCAATTTTCATTGTGTTCCTATAACTATCCTGAACTTATCTGTTTCTCATAATTTAGTGGATTACAGAAATATTCTAGTCTTTCTACTGTCTGAAAGCAATTTTAAATTTAACGACCAAGTACCTTGCAAGTGATAGTTTTTGGAGCTGCTCATTGAGATAAACTGTCCATTATGGATCCAACTGTTTATGTGAGGTGAATTTCTGAATTTGCTGTTTTCATGCTGAATATCAGTGTCATGGTTGGGCTTTTTGATGGCTGTATCGTAATTCCATTTTTCCCACTCAGCAGGAGAAGGCGATTTCGCATCAGGTATCATGTGATTTGAAGTATCATTTTCCTTTGGCACAAAATTTACACAGCTTAGTGTTACTTGCCGACCACTTTTGGCGGTGATCACTTCAGGATCTAGGGAACTGCGGATTTGTGATTCTAGAAATAGAAAGAAATTTTAAAACTTATTAAATGGTAGCACTTTATTTAAGGATACTCCACCCAAGCAATATTTTGTGGAGAGTGGCTATTTATCAAAGACTCTATTTATTAGTTACTTTACTAAAATACACAGTTATGACAGCTGTTTTCTCACTCAAAGTGTTTATTTTGTGTAACATGATAAAAGGTTATTAAGTAGGAAAAAGTACTAATCACTGTTATTGACTTGATTTTTTCCTTGTTAGAATGCAAGTAATAATTGCTTGGAATCAATTTGACGAAACGTTTTCTGAACTCTTGTTTTTATTATGTTAAACACGATGATTTAAATGAGCCAAGATGAAATTCTATCATTTTTTCTTTTTTTTAACCTACTTACTTGTGCAAGATCTATTTGTTATGTGATGACAGACAAAGCTTGTAATGTCCCCTTGTTCAAGGAGTCTAATGTGTCTTTTGAAACGAAACTATCTTTCTAAAAAGTGATGGAAGTTAACAATAAGACTTTAGACACATAAAGATATGAAGGAAATGAATCATAAGACAACCTTTTGTAAATATCCTGCTTCAAGTCTTCCGAAAGGTGAGTACCCGACCAACATACAATTCTAGTAGTTGGAATATTTTCTCATTTGAGATCAATTTGAGCATCTTCAGTGGTCAGCAAAATAAATTCAGATAGAGATTTCATGCAGAAAGGTATACATATCATAAAAGTGCATACATTTAGACTGCAGTGAGTAAACATTTGAGCAGGATAGCGAATCAATTATCACTGGTTACTCATTAGGAATGCAAACTGTTTCTAAGCAAATCAAATGACTTCATTATGCCAAATTCGTCAGGAATAGAGAAAATGTACGAGAGCGCCATCAGGAGATTGTATCAGTTAGCTTTAAACACGGTAGGTAGACCAATTTAGCTACCCAAAAATTCTATATTTTGAATAAACGACTTTTCTCCCACGTTATAGCTTGTAATTTTTCTTCGTTGACTGGAACAAACTGATTGGTCAACCTTTGCCATATAGACTCCTGGGCGGATAACTCGGTATTACCAGTGATTTCGGTTTGGAATTAATGGTAGATAGCTGCTGGATGTGCCTACCTCCTAATTAGCAGTATTGTTCTTCTCCAAGATGCAATTTTAAGACCGATAGCTTCAAACCCAGAATGTTATTCATTAGGTCACTAAAGGACGAGAACTATTCGTCTCGTATTCGAATCTTACTGGGGATCGACACCACTCACAAGGAGGCAGGCACTTCCAGCTGATGGGTCAAAAATGAGAAGATACGTGCAAGCTGGATTCCACTGCAATTCGATATCCTCATTTTTTTCTTCTAGTTCACATATGAAAAGCTGACTGACCATCCTAATATAGGAAACAAAATTGTTATATTGGCGACCATTGACTAATTCATTTACCTGTACCAGTTTTTGTCATTACTACATTATTGAGGAACACATCAGTTAAAGCCACCCAAAGTCATAGAATGTGTGGAAATTCTTTCTATAGTGAAATACTATGGTGTACGCCACTTCACCCAAATATTACCTACCACAAAAAGGTTGTCGCTAGAAATTCTCTAAGTAAGCTAAAGCACAGGTCATAAGATTTTAATGTGCATAAACGTTTTCAGTCAGTGGGTATTCTTGTTCGTTAAACAGCTTGTGGTCTTCATCTACGATTTTCCCACATTAACTAATTATAACATTACTTGAGATAAAGTGTTACCGTTCACATAAAAACGTTCCTTAGACAACTGTTTTCTGATCATGTTAAAATCGAAATTATATCTGTTCCCAATGAAGTACCATCTTTGAATCAAATAGTTTTCTTGGTAAACTTTGCTAACTTTATCTGAAGAGGCAAATTACCTGAGTTATTTAATGCATTAGCACCGTACGCTTTGAAGGAACTGTTTAGAACTGTAATGGTCAAATGATTATTATGAAAAGTCTGTAAAAGCGTTATTTAAGTCAATTAAAAAAATATGAATGAAAAGGATGATAATAACATAAGTAAAAAACTTCAGATTAATACTACTAATCGTATAAAAATTCAGTTCAATGCAACCAGGGTATATTTCGCATAAATACATGCATAGACTGGAATTAATTATGATGATGGTAATCCTCTGATAAAACTACGTATTTATTGTTATAAGAGCAGGACTTAGGCACTGTGCAGATTATAATTACACATAAGATTGTTTATCTGAAATAGCATACTGTGATTCAATATTATGTTTTGTGACAAACACTTATTACATAACCTTCAAAATTAATCTTTTTCAGTATAATAGCGATATGTAGATGGCAGTCTCCGTAATCAGATCGAAACATATTTTGAGCTTTTCGCACATATTACCTCGAGAGTAGATGCATTCCAATTTACTTATGAATAAGAAATCAAGATAAATTGCTTAGGTTGGGTTGGGAAATCAAGAAAAAAGTAGATAGCAATTTAATTAGATATTAATGTGTGCAGGAAACTACCGTAGTGGAATAAATACTTTGATTTCACGTTGTCTAACTCCAATTCTGTTGAAGTAGACTTGGTCAAATGTCTGAAGAATAGAGCTAGGTGTCTATAAGTAAGTAGGAAAATCAAAGTAGGGAACATACCCATAAATTGAAGAGGGGATCTAATCAAATGTCTAAATCGCAGAGCTGAAAAGCTCGCTAGCCAGTGTAAGGACCTAAACACAGAACTGAAGCTCATAAAATAAGCGTTGACAATTAGTAGTTATACGCTGTTTACTAATGAATTCGTACGAAGACGTAGCAAGCAAAATGAAAACAGTAATACGAATAAGAATAACGGCGACAACACGAGTAGAAATAAATCTAAAGCTTCTATTGTGTTACCATATAAGGAATGAACATCTAAAACTTTACGTAGGATTTTTATCATGGCTGCAATTAGTGAGGTAGTTAAACCTACAAACTTGCTTAGATATAAACTTTGTCGGCAAAGTAAACTTATGTACCGAATTCCATGCAGTAAATGTAAGGCCAAGTAAATATTTCAGACTAGCGAGTTAGAGTCAGTTAGATTGGCGTAACATAGGAATTCAGCTGAATACAAAGTGACAGACCCCAATAAGATCAATAATCTAGAAAAAACTCAGCTATTGCAGCACATGCATAAACACAATCATACAAACCACTGTTGAGTATATCCAAGTGAAGAGAGAGACTGATTACTGAATCTTTGTTCATCGAATCAACTCACTACACATGTAATAGGAATCAGGCATCACATATTCGAGATATGGAAACTTTTACTAGCAATAAAAATATAGAATATGAAGTAATAGGACCATAAATATCAAATGTTGAGAGCAGTCTAATTATACTGATGTGATTATGAGCAATAAATCATACTCTAAATGTGACCAAGTAAAAAATACTGTATCACTATGTGTGATATCCCAAGTCAATAAATTAAATGCGAAATAATGTTGCTGGAGATTACAACGCTTTGCACATGAAGTTTAAATCATCTTCAGCTTTTTCATATAAAACAAAGAGGAGACATCGTATTATCTACTTTTAGTTCCTAGCAGTGCTGTAATTATTGTGGCTGTTGGACCCACAAACGCACTTAAAGTAGCACTTCATGAGCTGAAACGTCAGATATATTCAGTTGATTAGGCAAGAAGTGCAAAAGCATGTATTTTGTGTATTCGCTTCGGCTGCTTTGCAATCTATGAAATATAACCTTACTGATGAAAAGGTAAGTACACAACATCCATTCACAAATTTGAAACAGATTTGTCGGTTGAATTAGAAAATGTCGAGGATGTAGGGTGACGAAAATCAGCTACTTCATCAAAATTCATTAATTTGAATACTTTACTTGTTATCACTTAAATCATAACTGAAGTTTTAAGCAGCTGAGGACAATCGGCGAAATGCATGTCAGCTAATTTCTCAATTTTTCTTCCGCTTACTATATTCGTGCCAATGAGTGGAAAGGGTTGTATTAGATCTAATTAAGTAAAATAACTTAGTTCATCAAATACTATGTAATGATTGTGAGGTCAAGTATGTATGTCAAAGCAGCCGACTGATGTTGGTCAGAATGGTGAAGCAAAGACTAAGTTAAACACAATGATAGACCCTAATAAAATAAGTGATTTAGAGAGAAACTCAGCAATCGGTCTACAGTCACTGTCCAAAATGACACCAAAGGGTGTGTCATTTTTTGCAATCTTTTACAACAGTAGGTCAAGGGAGGGATGCATTACAAAATAATAAGACAAATTACCGCCTAATATATTTAACCAGCATGCTTCATCACGCCACAGATCTTTAAAAAACTCCTATGTCATTAAAATGAAAGAAAGAATTGCTACACTTTGAAAGGGAAACTTGAAAGTTGTGTGGTTTCTTCGACATGATTGTAACCAATAATTTCTGCTCTGATCGTCATCCAGTAAATAATACTGTGTCACTTTACATGTCAAATAAACAATCTAGTGTGGAGCTGAGTTCCTGAACGTATTATTATTATTGTTATTTGTCCTTTCAGTCCCTAGTGGAATGTAGGGTTTCAGTAACACATCTCCATTGCACTCTGTTTTCTGTAGTCTTTTCAGCCTGGCTGCACCACTGCCCACACGCTTTCATTTCTTCCTCACACCATCTGCTCCATGTCACCCTCAGCTCGGACATTCAACTTGTCGTCCTCCCTTTCTGTTCCACTTGAGGGTCCGGCCTGGTGCGTAATATCGCCGAACCGTCTTCTCAGTGTATATCCAGTCCAACCCATCTCCACTTTCCTCTGTATATTTGTTGGGCGATGGGTTCGTGGTTGGTTTGTTGCCGGGCCAGAGTGAGTTCTCTGTTGTTTATTCTTTCCGGCAGTCCATCTGATCTTCAGAATCCAGCGTACGGCGAAAGCTATTTTAAATTAGTCCTACAATCAGTTTTTAATGAGTATGTTCTAGTTAATATTTCCCCTATCTTGAAGTTTTCTATGTAACA